AGTTCCAATTTTTGGGTATTTAAAGAACAAAGGGAAGATTATTTATTTCATACCTGACAAGGAAAGTGGGGTCATAAGAATTGCTTATGTGGCAAGGGGTAACCAGTTTACCCTATCAATTCTTCCAAAGGGACCCAATAGACCCGACAAAAATGAGTTTATGCTCTCATAAAGCAACGAAAATACTTTAAGGACTAAATGGACAAACCCTAGAAACTTCGTAGGACAGTTTTATCCTTTTTTCTTATATTTTTGGTCTCATACATAGTTTTTTTATAGTCTTTTTTTATTAATTTCTTAAGATACTTTTAGTCTTATTTCTGTCCGTCTTCTCCATATATAATTTTTTTTATCAAAACTTTATTTTTATACTTTTATAGTCCATTTGGTATGATATAAGTATCTTTTTGACATGTGTGAACTATTCATATTTGTAAATTACAGTTTATATATAAATTACGAAGGAGTTATCATGTATATTAAAGTTACGTTTTCTTTCCTTACATAATTTTTTTTTGTAGTTTTCGTTTTTATTAATTTCTTTAAGATATACTTTCTAGCTTTATTTTCATCCGCCTCTTCCATACATAATTTTTTGGGTCAAAATTTTATTTTGATACTTTTGTAGTTCATTTTTTATGGTCTAATCGTTCCCGTGCTATATGTGACTATTGTTATTTGTAAATCGCATAACCTATGCATCGAAGTTATGGTTTGGTCCCTTCCAACATTTCATTTTATACTTTTCGTTTTTATTATTTACAAACGAGTTCTCCGCCGCAACGCACAAGGTGACTTAAATACTACTTGCTAGATGGATGACACTAAACTTGTAAACGTCTGAAATAACTCCTTTAAATCTCCATGAATTTATTGAATTTTTTATACCCTCGCATTTTTGGGTAGTACAAATTACTTAACAAAAACTTGATTGTAAAACTTACTTGATGAACTTGATAACTCTAGGCTGGCAGAAGAAACCAAAATAATGACTTTCTTATATGAGTTGCATAGATAACGAAAGTGCTAATTGATGATCATAGTATCGTATTTGACCATCGATCACCTACTTGTGTTTGAGTAGGCAATACATAGGTATTTTTCCTTTTAGATGATGCCTAATAATTTCAAATTAAGCTACATAAAGCCATGGGGTATTGAGGGTGTTTCTGCGCGTAAAGATCTATGTGGAGGGGATGTTCACGCGTGAACACCACCCCCAATAGGTGTAAAGGTGATGAGGATTGAAGCTGGTGAGGGGTTCTCACAACCAATCACAACCATTTCTCCAAAAACATTCATCCGCCTCTCTCTCTCTCTCTCTCTCTCTCACACACACTAGTTGTTACCAGTGAACACCACCCCCAATGCTAGTAGAGATGTAGTGGAGTGGTTATTTGGATGATGTGGCAGTCTTAATCGCGTAATAATCTCAAAAGTCAAAACCATACCTTTTAGCCTAATATTAATCAAACTAAATCTAAGTTATTACTTTAATGCAACTCATAATTAGTCAATTTGATAGTTTAATTTAGTTTATAATTATTTATTTGCATTACCTAAATCACATGTTAATTCTAAAATAATATGTGTAACTATCAAACAAAGAGTGGTCATGCAAAATAGCCGTGATGCAGGATTTTTTCGATATAACTCTTTTGAAAAATCCAACAACCATGTCAACCATGAGCATTCTAGACACTACTCTTCGTATTATATCTACTAGTATTACAGTTGGAAGTAATAGTTGAAGTAAGGGGTGCCGATAGCTAATTATAAGTAAAGTAAACTAATTAAATTAGGCAAATTATAAGTTAAACTAAATTAATTAAACTAATCTGACCAAACAAAGCAAAATATAAATTAAGTAAATTATGAAAGATACAATAAGAATTACAAAAGCTTATATCATATCGTAAGTGAGTATTTGGAGTTGGAAATAACAATGCCATCTTAGCAAATAATTTATTTTGTTGTCGACTTTGCATATATTCCAAAGTTCCGCGTTTCGGTTGTGCTAATTTCCTTAAATGGTAATGTCGGAACAAAACCACACCTTCTTAAACAACACAAAAACTACTTCCTTTGGATCCTGATATATTTGGAATCTTTGGAATTATAAGATTGAAGATTCGAAAGTTTGATGAAATTCTAAAGAGACTTCAAGAGAGAAGTAATGAGTGGAATGAGAAAAATGATGAGGGTGAGTTTTGGGAGAACAAAAAATAGTTGTTAACTAGCGTTGGAGACCGACTCACACCGATTTCTCGCCATTGGGTGATTGATCCGCACTTGAGACCATTCCGATCTGAGACCGATTCTGGATTGTCTCGAAAGCAGTGGTTCGCAGAAGTAGGCCGGGTATTTCACCCGGATTAGCAGTCTGAATAACCTATAGACTTTTTGGTCCAAGACCGGTTCGATCCCCTCTCTATTTTCACAACTAGTTTATTTGTTCGGGTCTAATTATGCAGTTATTCTAAATTGTTGGCTACAAAGGCATCCATCTACAATGGTGGTTGGTTTTTACACTAAAACTGCACCCATTATTTGGTTTCATTTTCAAAAGAGAAGACACTTTTTTTTTTATTTTTTATTTTTTTATGATATCTATGATTAATCGATCTGGAAAACAAATGCCAAATAAGATGCTTCAAAAAGTCCAAGAAAACCATTACATTAGACGAGGGACTTCCGATACCCATAAGGATTTTATGCTAATATAATTTTCTTTATTAATTGCAAGGTAATGTTGGCCAATTTATTTAAAAATTGGTTTGGATTATTTATGATCACTAACATATTAAAAATGCAAAGAATAAATAAACGAAAATATATCAAATGGGCTGAAAGTCGTCCAGAGCATGTTCCAAATACATATATTTCAAAAATTAGATTATATTTGTAATAATATAATTTTTAAATAATATTTAGTTAAGTAATTGTTTATAAACAAAGGTCACAAATATTTTGGGTTACCCAATTTGATCGGACATATACCAACATATTATTCACTAGTTTAAACCCGTAGAATCCACGGGTGATAATTTTAAATAAAATTAAAAAATTGATTATATAATAAAGTAATATATCATTAATTGAGTAAAACACAAATTGAAAATCGAATTAGTAAAACTACAAGCTTGCTTGTTAACCCAAAATGCCAACACTTTTATCCTATTTAAAAACAATAATTGATTAAAACACAAATTGAAAATCGAATTAGGATAACCCAGATCAACGATTGCTCTAAATCATTTTTAAAAAAATTTCGAAAAAAAAAATTCATCAACGATCAAACTCATAATGTCATAAGAACAGAGTGAAGGGGTCGAATTCTTATGGAGTATTAGCATGTTGAATATCTGCTTCCACCTGTAAAAATAAAATAAAAGTAATTTAACTTTAGAAATTTGAAAACATTTTTTTTACATAAAAGGGCATTTTTGGAATTTCAACTTTAGAAAATTGAGAATAATTTTTTTACATAATAGGACATTTTTAGAATTTTAACTTTAGAAAATTGAAAAGAAAAAAGTTGGTGTTTCTTTCCAACTAACCTGCCAGATTAGTAGCCGGTTTTGGTATTGTAGATAAATATTAACCATATGTCCTCATACGTGGTATCTTCATTAATTTGTAAAGCACATTCACTAACCAAGTGAGGCCCTACCACCTAACATCAATCTCTTTGTGGTACATACTACATACCTAACATCAAATTACATATGATTATTTAGAATTTTAGAAGAAACTTGATATAAATATATAACTAATTTGAAAACCGTTTTGATTTGAATAGTTGGCCTTAAAGAAATTGATGGTAATCAAATCTTGGAAAAAAGGAACTCATATGTCCTATTCTTTATCAACATCATAATGTGGTGATGCCCATAGAAACAAACCATTATCACTAATGAAGTACTGATTGTTATATGAACCAACCATTTTATACTCAACAAATACAAAATAAAGCAAAACTTATATTAAATATCATATATTGAACAGAAGGGATCTTAGACCTATTTTGAGCATAGTTGTGAAAGCTTTTCAACCATTGATAATGGATCTTAGACCTATTGTGGAAGTGTAATATTGTGAAGGAAAAATAAATTTTGTTTGGACGAGGGGTATAAAGTCTAAATCTTAAGAGATAACTTATAACCCCTAAATGTGGTTTTGTTAATAACACATGTTAATTAAGAATTAGCAAGACACAATATACTCTCGTATTAAAAATCTACTATCTTTATCATAACTAATGCAATGATTTTGTAGAAAAATGATCAATATTTTTATTAAAAAAAATAATATTAAGCTATTATTGTATCTAATCATAGCAAAAAAATTAACTATTATTCTAAACCCAAAATTGCATTTCTTTTGCAAATCTTAAAAAAAAAATACCCAAAAGGTATAGTTCACAAACCTCATCGAATTAACAAATACTTTATACAAACCCATAAACCCCACATCATAATTTGAGGTAAAATCACACACACACACGCACACACACACAATATATATATATATATATATATATATATATCTATATATAGATATATATATATATATATAATAATATCATATAGATATATAATCAAGTATCTTACAGAACACAGATATGAAAGAATTATATATAAGGAGAACGGAAATGACCTAGGTGGGTGAATGATGACGTTGATAAGCTGTTACATGGAGATTAAAAAGCAACTACAAATGATCATACCTTTCCAACACCCTTTGTGGTTTGAATCATTTTAAGACAATTTGCAAATATCTTCTTAAAAGCTCTGTTAAGCTTAAAAGTTTCTGGAAAGGTTTCACCCTATAAATCCAAAAAAAAAAAGATCAACCCCCAAAACTATCTGAGTAATCAATGTTTAAAAACACCATTAATCTCGATATAAATGAAAAACTTGTCAAATAGAGATGCTTCAATGTTTTTGGTGTCTACATGCATTTTATCGAACAGTTGATGTACATTATGAAAGTTACTTTCATATCTCGACAATCCCATCAATGATTTCAGGGTCATTTACTGGTTCATCTCCTTGAATATTCTCATTTTCTGTCAAACAGTCAAACAGGTAGAATTGCCATTTGTTTTCATTTAGGCTTTGACAGGAGTAACAACAAAATCATCAAAACTTAAGGTGGAGAAAAACCTGAGGAGAATGTGACAAAGATCATAGGGTATTGTTTTTTGAACCATAACCAAAGAAGATAACTCAACTCTGAAGCACATCAAATCAGTTATATACAAATTAAAACAAAGCATTCGACATTTCTAAGGTAGGAGCAGTGAATAGATATTTAAATACTTGTATAATCATGTGTTATCAAATCCTTTCGTTACTAACCTTTAAAATCTTCATTACAAAATCTTCAAAAACGTTACATCATCAACATAGAATTCGTATTCAGTAAATAATTTATTCTTGCCCTCGTTTACACCACCAAAAAAACACATTAGAAATCGCGATGAAATCTAAAGTGAATAAAGTTCAAGGCCTTTACCTGGATAGCGGTCTGTGTGGAGATAAAGAAATAGGGCGAGAGAAACAGGAAGTAACAGGCAGGCCGACATGGGATATGTTGTGAAGTCTACAAAAGGCGGTGAAGAAGCGCCTTGGCATCCCTTGTCCATCTGTTCCTTATTTAACTGCAACCAACAAAAAATAAGTAATCTAATCTAAATTATAATGATAATAATAATACTAAAAATTCTAAAAGTGAAGTGAGTATTGACCGACATCTTCTTGATTGTGGAAGAAACGAAGAAGAAGGGAGACGGCGAGAGTGCGACGACTTCATTTGGGTGTAGGGATTCCATAGAGAGCAATATTTCAAACTTCAAATGCAGTGATAATCGGTAGACATCTGCAAGGAGCTCAGGAAGTATCTCCATTAGATAGCGTCTTTGTTACTCTGAGATCGTGATGGAGGAAATCTACCAGTAACGTCACAGGTTTGCTCGATGCAACACAACTCCAATATCCAGACGATTGCTATACTTCTTCAACTTCGTTTTCTTCACCTGAATGTTTTGCATCAAATGTTTATAAACCTTAAGCTTTTTCAAGATTGAAGTTATCAATCAAGAACCAAATAATCCTTTCTTAAGCTCTTTCTCAAAGTCAGAAAAAAATGAGATTACAAAGAAGAAGGGAGTTAGGGATTTTGAAATCAAATCCTGAGCGATTCAAGGTACCGAGATTTGGGGCGAAGATTTTAAAGGATTAACAGGGAAAGTAACAAATTATGCATAAGATTTGAAATTCAAATTCCAAAAATCAAATCTTCAACCGTGTAATATGTGTGAGGGGTATATTTGGTACTTCACTTTGGCTTAGAAAGGCTTAGGAGATGCCACATGGCAAAAAATATATTGTTTTATTATAATAGGGGATTTTAATATGTTACCTAACCGTTTATTCATAAACTAATTAACCTTAATGTTTCAAGACCAACTTTTCAAAATTAGACCCTGATATCTTTAATAACTTAACTCATGAAGAGACACTTGATACATGAAGATAGATCTGAAACTTTTTATATGCCAAAACCCTATGGTAATTTTGATCCATTTATTCAATCAAATGGGTTGAAAGTTATCTAAAATGTGTTTTCGATGAATATAACATTTTAGGTTGTTTTATTCAAGAAATGAATTATTCATGACAATGACATACTTTTTTAAAATCGTATTAACACACTAAGGCCGGACGGTATGGAGTGCTGGGAGAGGGTGCGGGACGTTTCCCGCACAGGGGAACACCGCACCGTGGGTGCGGGAAGCTAGGCGCGGGAAGAGGGTGGGGGGTGGGGATGCCGCGTTCTCATTCCTCACGCAATTCGTCCGTTATTTTTTTTCTTTTTTTGATTCCAACGGCTATATAGCTGTTAATATATATATATATAATATATATATATATATATATAATATAATATATATATATTATATAATATATATATATATATATATTTGTTTTTTCCCCCTTTTCTTAAACTATAAATACCACAACATCCAACCATTTTTTTAACCCATACCTTATACTTCTCTCCAAAAAAATATTATTCAAAATGTCATCATCTTCATCATCCGATTCGACGGCTGTAGAGGAGGCTAAGTTTATCGGTTCCGTCATGGCGAAAACGGTTGCATACTATCCAAACCGACTACGCGAAACATCACGTGCACGATCTAAACCAAGAAAGCCGCGGTTGCGTAGAAATCACGAAGCCGGACACGATCGTCTTATAGAAGATTATTTTGCAGATGACGCCATCTACGCTGTAAAGTTTCGACGTCGGTTCCGGATGAGGAAGGAACTATTCTTACGTATTGTTGGCGATTTGGAAGACCGGTTTCCATATTTCCAATGGAAAATGGATGCACGGCGGATAAAAGTTTTCTCTCCCATTCAAAAATGCACGACTGCAATTCGTCAGTTAGCATACGTCATGGGCGCAGACAAATGTGACGAGTATTTTAGGATGTCAGAGCGTACCGTGCGGGAGTGTGTGTACAAGTTCTGCAAAGCGATCTGTTTGGTTTACGGGCAACGATATTTGCGCAAACCAACTATCAACGATATCCACCAATTGTACACGGTGCATGAAGGCAAGCATGGATTCCCTGGAATACTAGGTAGTATCGATTGCATGCATTGGAGTTGTTCATTATGCCCCAACGAATGGCGTGGTCAGTACATGATAAGCGACCATAAAGAGCCGACGATCATTCTAGAGGCTATCACATCACATGATCTTTGGATATCACATGCATTCTTTGGTCCAGCTGGTGCAAACAATGACATCAATGTGCTAGACCAGTCGCCGATATTCAACGATATCTACCTTGGAAAGTCGCACGATGTACCTTTTCAAGCAAATGGGGTAGCATATAAGCGTGAATACTATCTTACTGATGGTATATATCCTCCCTTGTCTGTTTTTGTGAAATCGTTTACATGTCCTAACGACCCGAAAAGGAAAAAGTTTAAAGAGGCGCAAGAGTCAGCTAGGAAGGATGTGGAGCGAACATTTGGTGTACTTAAGAGACGTTGGCAAGTACTAACGGTCGGGGCAAAGTCATATGAAGTGAAAAGGTTACACCACGTAATGTATGCATGTATCATATTGCATAATATGATTCTTGAAGACGAAGGAAGAGCGATATGCCGGTACAACGAAAATGAAGTTTTGCCAAATGTCGAAGGAGTAGCCGTTGGTACACAAGAGTATTAGGGTGAATAGAAGAGAAGTACACAATCGCGACATTCATCACGCCCTTCGTGCTGATTTGGTGGAGCACATTTATAGGGCTCATATTCAGCTCCCGATAGTGTTTTCTCACGTTGATTTGTTTGACGACTCAGACGAGGATTCTGATATGTTCGTCGAGAGCGAAGATTCCGATGACGAGAGTAACGCTGGGGAGAATGATGAAGACGATGAAGGCGATGACGAGGACGATGATTCCGAGTGACGTATTTTGGTTTATTTAAAATTAGGATATTAATTATGTTTTCTATGTTGTGGGTTGTTTATTTTTTGTCTGCGTTTTTTTTTTTAATTTTCTACTTATTTAAATATTAGGTTTAATGTAATTTTTATTTTAATTAATGAAATGCTTTTTATTTTTAATTAAATTTTATGTTTAGTATTAATTTAAAAATTATAAATCATAAAAAAAAATTATTAAAAAAAAAAAGTGAGGGAAGTCCTTCCCACCCATTCGTTGGGTTTTAGGTGAGGGAAAGGAAAATGAGGGAAATGGTGGTATGACCTATAAAAATGAGGGAAGCTTCCTTCCCGTGCCCTATAAATGGTTAAAAAGCATTTGTTATAAAACAAACTCGACCTACAAAAAAGTTGCCCATTTTAACACGTTAGCCTGATATATTTTGCCAATTATATAAAATGAAAGTTCTTGATGTTTCAAGAGCGACTAGTTAAAAGTTAAAACTAAGATCCCATTTTACAATTCACAAAAAGATGCTCAAATTTAAAGATAGATTTGAAACTTGTTCATATGCTAAAGCTCGAACAAGTAGGTCAAAAAAGGAAAATCATAAAAGGTCAAATATCAAAAGAAATTGGCAGCAAAGTATACATACCTCCTGGAAGAGTGGGATCATAGTATATCAACCAAAACAAGTAAAACACGTTTGCCACACGCTTGTGGATTCCCAAAAAATTTGAATCAGAATTTCCCAAACCAAGACAAAAGTGCAAGTCGTCTCTTAAAAGTCGTCATTGAATGACAATGGAAACTTCAAGAAAGTCTACAGTCTAGCCTCGACAAGCAAAGTGGGCAAAATCCGTACCATCGAATCCTCATGTTCCAAGTAATTTCTTACTCATATTTTATAATATTTCATCTCCTACTCCTATATATATTAATCATTCTAGAACTGGACAACACAACACAACTAAAATCAACTTACAAACTGTGTGCTTTTACAAAAGAGAGATAATGGAGGTAGAGAGAGACTCGGTGAAACTAAGCCTGAACAATGAGCTTACAAAAGCAGCTCAATCGCTATCCATGGAAGCCCACAAACAAAACAAACCTTTCATCACAAACTTCAACAAGAAACATGGTACATCTTCATCAATGGAGGTTGCTATCTTCGCATTTCCAGGATCGTGGGTAGTCAGCGACTGGTACCATGATGATAGTTTTGGAGAAACCGAGGTTGATCGTAACCTCTTCAAGTCCATGTGCCGGATCGGAGAGAATCGACCCGCTAAAGTCAACGCAGCTTTTCTTAAAAAATTTCAAGATCTTTTAAGCGATCCCACGTTCAAATCCGAGGTATAAATCTAATAACTTTACTTTCAAGTTATAATTTTAGATTTGAAAACGAAGAACTCAAAACTGTGAAATTAATTTTCAGGTAGAGAAAGCTGTGAACACAAATAATAAGATTTTGTTCACGGGGCATTCGTATGGTGGTGCGATAGCAAGTTTTGCGACACTTTGGATACTTGATGAGTAAGTAAAAAATCGCGGTAAAAAATTCCCGATCGGATGCGTAACTTTCGGGTCACCTCTGATTGGTGACCGGACCCTGTCCCACGCAGTCCGGCGTGAGAAATGGGCGAGTCATTTTACCCATTTTGTCATGGAACACGACATTGTTCCTCGTATGATGCTATCTCCTAAGATATCAATTCAACAACATCTACCTAGTATTCTCAAATTCTTCCAACAACAAGTCAACGTCATTGATGATAAGCCCCACAAAAGTCGAAAGTTGATCTTTAGCAAATCGGGTCCGGGAAAACGGGCGGCTGAAGATCGGTCGATAGGAGACGATGAAGGTGTTAAGTTCTTTGAGAATGTAATAATAAATGCATCAACAGTTGCAAGTCATGTTGCATTTGAGCTCATGGAACCTACAAATTCTCTAATGGAGAAGCTATCGGTTGACTTTGTAAAAGTCTCTCCGTATAGACCATCGGGTTTTTACGTGTTTTGCACTAGCCCTTCACAACAGCAGTTTCGGGTGGAAAACCCGAATGCTGTTCTACAGTTACTGTTTTATTTCTTACAGTTAACCGACGAAAGTCAAAATCTGGTTGATTTTTCGTTGAAAAGTTTAAATGAAAGTTTTAGTTATGAAGGACAAGTGAAGAACTTGTTACAGTTGGAAACCTTGATCGACCTGAAAGACCTCAACGACCACTTGTTGACTCCTAACGGTAGTGCAGGTGATGTGGTTAGTTCAAGTAACCTAGCTCTATTCGAACTGGTGAGTGCCTACAATTACATCAACATCGTCTTCATTCTTTTATAATAGACTTGATGATAAATTAAAATTGTTTTTTTTTTGTGTGTGTGTTGTTACAGAGTGCAAGTGCAAGATGCTGTTTAATAGCTGCTGAAGAGGCGGAGAATAGGAAGAAAGAAAACGAGAAGGTGATCGATAAGTCGATGAAAAAATACGCAACACCGGAAGAGAAGAAAAAGAATAGAAATCGAACTGAGCTTAAGTTCATCGAGGATATTCTGGATGAACTCCGTGAGTACAAAAAAAAGCACACTGATTACTACGAAGCCTTCAAGCTTCAAAAGGAGCACGACGTCGACTTCTTGGTTAATGTAGACAGGCTGAAGCTGGCTAAAATATTTGACGAAATTGTGGAGATGGTGATGCGTGATGATCTTCCTAATGAATTTGAAGGTCGGGACGAGTGGGTGAAGGTAGGGACGGAGTTCAGGCGACTGTTTGAGCCTTTAGATATTGGAAATTATTATCGCCACTCAAAAGGAGATGATAACAATAAAGTTTATATGGATGTTAGACCAAAAAGGTACAAGTTTACACAGCGCTGGTATGAGCATGCAAATGGGATGGGGTTTGAGTTGGTTTCGGAGACTAATTTTGTTGCACTACTTGAAGAAATGAAGAAGGAGGCGGAGGAGACTAAGAAGAAGCCGATTGACATGGTTAAAGAGGAATTCCAAAGTCTGGAGAAACAAGTTCGCAACTGGATTTCTGACCACAAAATACGAATAGAGGATGATGATGATGTATTTTGGGGAGAATCTTTTTTCTCTGTGTTGCGGGGAAAACTCGGATAAACACCACACCTACGCCCACACCCATGAAAAAGGAACAAAATGTACATAATCTTAACCTTTCCATATGATTACTTAATAAGGGTGACTGGGCGAGTGTAATATGTGAGTGAGTGTGTTTGATATTTTATGTATAGCATCCTTACTATAATTGATTTACGCTTTTTAAGTTTTACTTTTACATGAGTTTGAGCTTTTTTTTTTATTTTTTTATTATTTTTTTTTTTTTAATTTTTATGATTCTTCTTTTTTTATAATAATAATATTTGAGACATTTTGTGATGGAATCTTTAAAAGGATATAGCATTTCTTTGGAACTGATATTTAAAAACCATTACGATATTTTTGGTAGATAACTACATTATTGTTTTATATTTATTAGTTGTTTACAAGTTTGATTTACCTCTTTGTTTATTAAAATATTTTACATCTGCTTTTGAAAAAATAAAATATTTTGTAGTCGGGATGCTTATCGACGTGAAGAACATGCTTTAATTATTGTTATCATTTTAATATTATTTTAAAAATCTAGACTATAATTATTATAGTGGTGATTATCATGAATTGGAAAATTGTCACTAGCCCAACTATCTTTCGTATATTAGTTTAAATGGTCTATCGTGACTTTTTTTTTTTTTTTTTGTGCATTTAAAAGGATTGTACTTGTAAATGACCGGTCAGTTTGGTACTTTAACCCATATTTGAAGGTCATACAACTGTGTGGAGTGCCAACTAAGCGGGTGAGTCAGCATCGAGTGGACTCGTGTTCCACCTAAGCCGGTTTAATAGGTTCATTAATTAACTTCAACCAATCCAACCAACCACCCTTAGAGGACAGACAATCGTCGGTGGTGGGAGCATAAAGCACAATCCGAAACCCATATGGGGCTTTACCTAGCATATTCAAAAGACTTGTTTACCTTATTTGGGAAAACACTATTCCGACCAAAACCCTAAATACTCTAAATACTGGCAATGTCGGCTCCACTACCTCCTTCACCTGAATCGATAAATTCACGGGAGTTTCTCAACTCAACGACCTGCATGATATTGTTTGCGACTGTGGAGACAAGATTGCTTCCAACCAGATCGAGATGCAAAGGCTCAAAGATCAGCTGGGTAAAGATTTCATTGTGTGCCCTGTTGATCACATCAGTCTCTAGCACAAGTTGGAAGATCATGACAGGAATTTAAAAGCGATTGCTGTGGTAATGACTAATGAGCGGCGTCATGGTGGCAATGCTTGGGATGATGGTGGTTGGGGTCAAAGTCCTTATGAAGCTTGGATAAGTTGTTGGGGATACATTACGAAACATATATATTTTAGATGTAATAGTTTTAGGTCTCTTGTTCTTGGTTTTTAATTTTTTTGTGCTATCTATGGATTATGTGAAAAGTCATGTGTTGATGACAAGCATTTTGTACGTTTGTTAAGCTTCTTAATGGAAAAAGACTTGAGTTGTTCTCAGGAGTTTTGTATCTGAAGTTTGACTTAATGAACACTTTGATTTTGGTTGACATATCATGCAAGAACGAAGAACATAACATATGTTGGGTTATTGAACCACACGTGCCTTGCACGGTGAGGGTAGTTTTGTCTTTTCATGTTCCTAACGGCTGTAAAAAGGGTTGTCTCATTCAAAAGGGTAACTCATTCATTTTTTCTTTTGTCCTTCAAATCAACAAGTGAGTGTGATCCAACAAAATTCGAGAAGATGAAGATTGTTTGTGGGTGTGGAAGTACTGCAATAATTTGCATATCTCGGACTGACAATAACCCTGGAAGACCATTTTATGCATGTCCACACAAGGTAAATGTAGTCATAATTTTAGAACCCTAGTTTCACAATTGTTTTCTAAATGTAACCTTAATTTCTTATTTAGGGAGCCCGACCAGGTTTCATTTCTTGGGTTGACGAAATAAAATGAAACAATGAAGAAATCATTTTAAGTGTAACGATGAGGTCCAAGAAGAAGCTGGAATTAGAAGTGTTGAAGTTGAAGCTGATTTTACTTTGTAGTTGGGTTTTTTTTGGGTTTAATCATTTATAAGTTGTAATCTAATGTATTTGGGTAGTTGAATTAAGAACAATTTTTAGTTGTCTGATGTGACATTGATGTATTGTTGTCTTGTCATTACCCTTAATTACGTGTAGGGATGCTAATTACCCTTAATTTGGTGACATTATGCCACCCTTAATGTCATTACATATAGTACGTTGGTAAAAAGCATTTTAAATGTTTGTCCACTAAGAACACAAGGACCACATGTTCTTAAATGTTTGAATTACATGTCATTACGTTTCATTTTTTTCATTACATATACTAAGTTGCTAAATAGCATTAAAACTTGTTAACAATAATTGTATATTTGTCCACTAAGAACGCAAGGACCACATGATACATCATAGAATTACATGCATGCACGTTGAAAACTACTACTATTAAAGGACAACCAAAGCATGATAATAGTATAAACCATTGTCAAACCAAACAAACTAACTTCAAACAAACAACTAAATGTCAAACCAAACAACTATAACTTATTGTCAAACCATTGTCAAACATAACCACATGACACCATAAAATACTCCCTACTCATTAAGGTCTACTGGGTTTGCACTAGTTTCTCCTTTCCCATCCTTTGTCTTAACCTTCTTTGCAAGTTTCATTTTTATGATTATCTCTGATTTTTTCCTTTTACCACCAACTTTTGGTCCTTTATCTCCTTCATTAACTTACTTTGGTCCACAACTTCCTTCATCAACTGCCTTTGATCCACAACTTCCTTCACCTGCTTCACCCTTGGCCTTTGTTTTACTTTTGGTGACCTTAAGTTTTGTGGGCCTTCAAACCCTTGCCCTTTGGACCTGTTGCCTTTCAACTTTAGGACAAGTGACCTTGTTATGCCCTGCTTGTCTACACATACTGCATAATATTATTTTCCTTGCCTTAGACACAGTGTGTCTTGGAAGCTTTTCTGATGCATATTTTCTTCTTTTTTACCTTTGGTCTACCTGTAATTCTTCTCTTCAATGGTGGTAGAGGTGGTATGAAATCAGTAGGTGGCCACATGTTGCTACCATTCATCCCATGGATTTGGTATTTGTAAGTGTTCTTGTACAAGGAACCATAGAACATTGGATCCACATAAGTGGTAACATCTCTATTTAGATATGATATAGTAGCTACCGAATGCACACATCCAGACCCATTAAGTTGCCACACTCTACAACTACAAGTCTTATTTTCCAGGTTAACAACATATGACTCCGCCAGGTTTCTGGTTTCAAATTGGTTTAGACCACTTGGTAAAACCTGCCAATGCCTATTTGAGCCACGATATAAGTTAGTATGTAAGTTACATTAAGAGTGTAATGATTAGAAAGTACCTTTGTGCTCTTTTCAATTGATTTGGTAGGAGTGTAATTGATGGGCAAGGTTTGTAATCAGGCCATGAACTACCCTTCATCTTCAAATTGTATAGCCTCTCCATAACATATAATCTAATCTCCTCTAACATGGTGATGATTGGTTTTTTCCTTCCATCCATGATGAAACTGTTAAAGCTCTTAGATAATCCATTCTCCACTGCATCACACATCCTTCCTTCTTGAAAGAATGCTATACTCCAAGATTTGGGGTTTGTTTCCATAAGGTATTCATAGGCTGCAGGGTTAAGCACTTGAATCTCCTTCATGGCAACATTGTATAAAGGCTCAGTGGATGCTTTGCTTGCCTTCCAAAACATGATCTCATAATGTACACCATTGAATCTTTTCCTAAAGTTGGCAACAATATGCCTTGCACATTGCCTATGTTCAACAGTAGGAAGCACTTATTTGACAGCCTCTAACAACCCCTATCAAACAATGGTGATATTTTAGACATAATGTAACCTAAATGTAAAATATTTAAAAGTTGAAAGTATAGGACATACCTTATACTGATCCGACATCAATGTTATACTAAAACCATTATCTAGATTAAGGTCATCTTTTAGATTTTCCAAGAACCATTTCCAATTTTCTTTGTCTTCTACACATACAACTGCCCATGCAATTGGAAATATGTGATTATTAGCATCCCTTCCTACAGCACATATTAGCTCTCCTGAACATAAACCCTTTAAGAAACAACAATCCAAAATTATTACTCTTCTGCAGCCCCCTCTCCACCCTTGCTTTAGGCATCAAAACAAATGTAAAACTTGCTAAAATAAGTCTTACCATATGGCATAGAATTGACATCGATTTTGACTATTGATCCAGGAGTTGATATTCTTATCTCCTCCCCATATGACCATAGCTTTGCATAGTGCTCCACTAGTGTTCCCTCAATCAATTCAATTGCATACTTTTTTGCTCCTCTACACTGTCCCATACTTACATCTATCCCAAATTTCTCTTTAACCTCATCCCTAAGGAGCCTCACACTAACTTTTTGTTTCTGTAAGAATTGGGTGGTGTAATGGCTACCTATCTAGGCATAGTTCACAATTGAACCTAATTTGAAGTTTCTTGCATGGTTATGCTCATTTATGAGACTCTTAATTTGGAAAGATTTTTCCTCACTCATCCAAGAAGCCCACATTCTAAACTTGCAAGAACCAGAACAACATTTCACTAAAAGTCTCCTGCTATCATTTTTCTTGTAGCATAATCGATAACCATTTGCAACATCATAGTTACACATCATGTGTTTTAGTTGTTTAGGACTCACAAATCTCATACCTAATACAAGCTTCTGTTTTTTCCAATGAACATTCTCATTGTAAATAGCTTGGTCATTAGATATTACCCCATCCACATGTAGCTGATCATATGGCTCTTCACGAGGTGGACTGTTAGGGGTAACTTGGTCATTTGGGCACAGCTTGCTCAAAAACTCATCATCTTTTGTCTTGTTCATAGGAATACACTCATCAGGTTCATTGTAAACTTCCATGTCAATGCCATCATCTTCCTCACCTTGCAAATCCTCCCTAATACCTTGCAAATCCTCCATATCACCTTGCAAATTATGACCTATCAAATCCTCAATGTCAGTTCCATCATTCCCATCCATACCACCTTGCACTTCTTCATGAACTTCATTTCCAGCCTCAATGTCAACTCCTTCACTCCCATCCATACAACCTTGCACTTCTTCATGATCTTCCT